TTCATTTGCCAAAACAGTTTCACAATCAAACAAACAGAATATATATTCATCTACTAAAGATATACATAAACAAAACAAAAAACACCTAACACACAAAACCATAAGTCACTAACAAAGTCTTTGTAATCCCATTTTCTTATAATAAATAAATTAAGAATATTAATAGAAAATAATTTTCGGATATCGGATATCCGAAAATTCATAAATCCACTATCCGTATCCGAATCCGAAATAACGGATATCCGAAATTTCGGATAATTTCAGTTCGGAATTTCGGATGCGGATATTTTTGAACACCCCTAGGAACTGCGGCACATTCAAAAAACTATACGAACCAAAATATACTGGAAATTAAACCAACAAAGCAATACTGATTTGACGAAAAATATTATCATAACGGATGTTGGTTTATTTATTTATAACAACGATGTGGTACGAGAAGCATTTGCCAATTTTTTTTACAGGAAGCACTCTCATTCGACTATTTTGACAACCCTCACCCCTCACCTTACAAAACAATCAAAACGAAACTTTAACCCTGTAATTCAATAGTTCTGTAATTCGTATTACTCTTGGACGCAATGAAATTAGACTTATGATGCAAGCAGTATAAAAATTAATTATAGGCTATGCAAACTATAATAATTCGATGTCACTTACTTGTGACGTTTAGATTACCAGCATGGAAATGACTATTCCTTCTTAGTTGTTACCGCACATTGGTTTCACTCGGATTCTTGGCTAATGATGAAATAGACTATTACATTTAAATTATTTCGTTATCCGTATATCGATGAGAATCTAAGAAAAATCATACAAGGCGTTATGTTGGAATATATATTACAAGATAAAGTTTTTTCTGTTTCACTCGAAAACGCTTCAAACAATACAAATGCCACCAACCGATTAAAACCTATTTTATATGACGATTTTTTTCATAGCCGGTGTGATGCACATATTATTAATATATGTGTGCAAGTAGGGCTAAAAATTTGCAACAATTTACGTTTAAAATTTTAAGGTTTATTAAATACAGTTTTATTGTTCGAGTAACGAAAGGCAAGCAAATTATCAAATTTTTGTCAACAATGCAAATAATCTTGTTTAGGCCTAACTATGACAACAATACAAGGTGGAAATATATTTATGTTTGAAAATATCTTACGAAAAAACATACACTAAATGCTTTTAATAAAATACTTGTGGAAAATTGCTGATAAAAATTTGTGGTGATCATAGCAGACTACATGATTGATCATTATCAATTCAGTCAGATCACGACCATGCATTTGATATCAACACCAAATCACCAAGGGCCCCCGCAATAATGCTTTTCCTGTTAGGGTAGAAGGAACACCTCGCCTACTCATCATATCATATTTGCCTCTATGACTGCAAGTTACGAACAATGTTGGAGAACACCAAAGGACAACAAAATGCAGATCAAATAATCTCATGCATCTCCGTTTGAAGAATATAAGATGTTACGGTCGTAGAATTACTTATGAAAGTTTCCATGAAGTAATATCTAGGGGTGGGTTACTCCAATACTTAATATATATTAAGTACACATGAGTGTTAGTCACATTTATATGTTATGTCCATCTTTATGGCCAACTCACTAATACCTAATGTCAGTCTTCAATCACTACTTACTTCCAGAAATATAACCGACTATAGAGACTTTGAATAATTTTATATTTAGGAAGTCAAGGAAAATATGTGAAATGGAACACAATAATCAACTAATGAAAATGGTTGTACCCAACATACATTAAGATCTCTACATAATAATTGTCAAATCAGATTAAGATTCATATTGCATAAGTTCCCAAATCAAAATCAAACTAAACTAAATACACTTAAATCAAGCCATTTTCAATTCTAATACCTATCGACCTAATATAAGAATAATGCTTGGTTTGTGACAATGGTTTAGTGAATGGATTAACAAGATTCTATTTCAATGTAACTGTACTGATTATGACATTTTCATCTTCGAAAAGCCTTCAAATGTAATGGTACTTTCTAAGTATATGTCTTGTGTGCTTCTAACCTCTGGTTCTTTATTGAAGGAGAGTGCACCCTCACTTTCACAGAAGATCTAAACAAGACCATTAATGCTTGGAACAACAACACCGAGATATATGATGAACTTCTTCATCCATATGACCTCCTTTGCAGCTTTATTAACTATAATATACTCATCCCTTGTTGTCAATCTGCTATTTTATCTTGCTTGGAACTCCTCTAGGTCACTGCTCCATCATTCAGTAAGAATATGAATCCCTGCTGCGAACGAGAATCATCTTTATCAGTTTGGAAGCTAACATCAGTATAACCCTTTACATTGATCTCTTCCACACCTCTATAACCCAAGAACATGTCCTTTGTACTCCTTAGATACTTGAGAATGTTCTTGACAACAATCCAATGATTTTCACAAGGGTTATCTTAATAACGACTAGTCATTTTCAAAGCACACGACGCATCAGACCTTGTACATATCATCACATACATGATCGTTTCCACAGCTACATCTTGAATTCATTTAAGACTTTATGTATATATGTATGTTGGCTTAATCCAATGATTCGTCTATATCTATCTATATAGATCTGTGATTTGTTCTATGTTGATGTCAGGATGATGCATGCTTATTTTTCTTAGTTTATTTTAATGATTTTGTTGCAAGTTAATAGGTTAAGCATAGGGATGAGCAAAGGAACCGACCCGGCTGGAACTGGCCCGAACCGGACCCGGCCCGGGAACCGAAGTCGGCTGAAATTAAGAACCGAACCGGACCGCTAGTTCTACCGGTTCCCGGTTCCTACCGCTTCTTGTCGTCTATTCAATGTTGGAACCGGTCCTCGAGAAATAGCAACACATAGTTCCGGTTTTTGCCGGTTCTACCATTTTTTGTCGGTTCCATCGGTTCCGGTTCTACCGGTTCCTGGTTCCAAAAATCTACAAGAATATTGTCCCGGTCCCGGTCCGATCGGTTCTATCCGTTTCCGATTCCGGTTCCAGTTCGGGTACCGATTTCGGCCGGTTCCCCGGTCTAAATGCTCATCACTAGTTAAGCATTCTATGTTTTCCATGTACTCCTCGTACGCTCACATGCATGTAAATAATGTAGATATATAGTGCAAAGTGATTGCAAATTAATTAGTTTGTGTTTATTTAGTTTGTGTTTATTTTTATGGGCCTAATTCAAGGGTGGTTTGTATTTTCTGAAAATAGTTAAAATGTAATAAAAATGGGGGTTGGATGTGAAATAGAAATCAAAGAAAGTAGAGGGATCTGAAGTTAAACTTAGAAAATTAGCTAAAAAAACTCAAATTTCTTTCCTTCTTGTCCCTCGATTTTCACACTAAAGAAGTCTGAACTAATTGATAAAAAAAAAATAGAGGTAATTTTTGGATGAAAATCAAGATTTTGACATAAAAATGAATTAATTAGTTCAACACCAATCAAGAATGCCCAAGGAATTTCAAGAATTCTTGTTATAGATTTGTTCCATCTTTCAAAATGGAATCTGACTACTCTATTGAATCTTTCAACTTTAACCTTCGAAATGTATCGAGTAAAGTATATACTTCGACTTTCTTGTGCTAGAACTTTAGCTCGAAGCATAAAAGTATTGTACATGCTTTAGAATGTTTAGAATGAGCCTTCTTTTTTTAATATATGTTCCATTAGTAACATTCTTAAGGTTAAGATAAATAGGGTTTGATCCAAATTTTTCTTCCATTGCCAATTCACACCCAAATACTAATTTTTCCTTACATTTTTCATATTTTTATAAAATTTAAAAATCCGTTTAGACTTTTCGACACTTGCTAGTGATCATCCCATTTCTTTTTTTTTCTATTTTTGGTAACATTTTTAATACTTTAACAAATAACAAACAACCCCCTCAACTTTCATTATTACAAATCGTTTAACATGTTTATGAAAGTATGTGAAGTTGGTTGTTTCTTGTTTGTAGTTTATGAAAATATGCCACCCATAGTACATGAAAGATCTATATGATGATTATTTGTTGAGAGCATAAAACACTTTGATGTGTTTGAGTAGTAAAAGATGATGAGGTTGAAGGAAAGCAAACAAAATGTAAGCATTGCTCCACTACATTTAAAGCCGATCCATTAAGAAATGGTACATCAAATCTTAAAAGACATTATCGTAGATTCCATATAATATAGCTAGGTAATAAGGTTTCTTTTTAATTGGTAACATTTTTACATTAAAATTAAAAATATTTTTTTTTGTTTTTATGTTCATAGATTGAAGATGTGATAAATGGACAAATTAAGAGAGTAAAGAAACACATAATATGTCTACAAATGATTAAGTTTCTACTTTACATACTTTTAAAGTCTTTTACATTTGATGGTGAAGTTTTTTGAATATTTAATCTCTCATGCGACGACGTGAATATCCATAAATTTTATAGCAATTCAATTAAGTCCTAACTTAGTCCTGGCACGGGTTTACCCGGACCACTCTCAACCCCGTATCAATCCGGAAATGGTCTATATGGGTTCGGTTTCGATGCAAAGGCTGGCATAAAAAAACCGGTACCAACAATTTCAGTACCAGTCTAGGATCAAGTTCATCCCTAGTTACTTCGCTAATTTGCGATGTATTTCACAAATTTTCCAGTTTAATTTTTTGATAGAAAGTTAAAAGCTTCGTGGACGTGACTTTCATGGCCATCTCTATAAATTGCTCTATGTTAATAGTATAGATAAATAAATCGATTTGGATTAGATAAAAATAAACTGGAGGGAAAGTGATATAGCTTCATAGCTTTACACAACACGCACTTTTGTCAAAAAAAAAAAAAAAATCGAAATAATAGCTTTCATCGCTTTGCACAACACACATACTTTTATAAAGAAAACCAAAAGATAGGATATGTTTTCTTCTTGTTCCCAAGTTCATTCAGGATTTAGGATTAATCGTTCAAGAATGATCAAACATCGTAAGGTCGATCAAGAGACGAGCCACATGTAAAAGGCTGACCACCACGTGAGAGCGAACGTGGCCACAACGTAAGTCCATAGCATGATAATAGAACACTCGCTCTCCCCAACCTCAAACAAGTGTGTTATCGTACCTGCAAATTTCATCAGTTATTTTTCATGCATGGATTTATCCGTAAAATGATTGTTTTTCTTATAAATTAGGTAACATATTAATCATACTGATAGCCATAGCTGGTGGAAGTGAATATTGCATCAAAAGAACAAACTGATATAGCGAATCAGATCCCACAAATCCAACATGGTGTGCTGCTTTTACGATGCCAATGCCCACGAGTGGCAAAACTACATAACGAACCACTAGAATTCCTATAATGAGCCACAACCCTATGCCTGATTTCTTCAAACCTAAATACAAATGAAATCCATAAGGAAAAATTAATGTTCATTTTTAAACACTTTACGCAATTACATTATCAGTAAATATTATATATATACCCTTAAAAAGATTAGCTCCCACGATCAATGTCATGGCTGGAACTGTTGCCTGACTATTAGTTTGATCAAAAATTGAAAACCATGAATATTATGAGGTCAAAATTCGACATAAATTAAGTGGTTTATTAATTGTGGGTACCCAAGGAGAGATGCTGAACTGTCGATGACTCGAAGAGGAGCATTATCTCCGACCATTAGCTTTCTAATCGGAGATATCACCCCTATCAGAAGCCCAACGATCTAACAAAAAATTTTGGTAAGTGAAAACAAATCAATGGTGGTTGAGACTTATTGATCAATATAACTGTTCACAAAAAGGAACAGGATCATACGGTGGAAATGGTGGACGGTGTTAACCACATCTTCAGGTTGATTTTATCTATAAACACATCGAAGTGCTTCTTAATCTTTGTTAACACAGTCACCTGTTCAAATACAGCATTTCATCAAAACATAAAGTCAAGTAAAACCATATTAATTATCTTGAAGTTTCTTTTCTGAAAAATGCTACCTTTCTCCCTTCATCATCTTCATATACGGAGTTCTGTTCCTCCACTTCTGTAGATTCCTCATCAGGAGCTTCACAATCATCAAAATTCGAGCCACCAGAGTGTAGTAACGCCTCATTATAACTTTCCATAAACATATCTAAAGTTTTACCACTACAATCAACGATGATAGTGGACGCCTTTCCGATGTCTTTCCCACTCCCGTTTCCATATGACGCACGTATAATATTGTAAACATATGACCATATATAAACTGAACCAATCTGAAACCTCACAACAAGAAGTCATTTGCATCATATTTATTCCAAACAAAATCTAGGATCAATGTGTTCAAGATCAATTTCAAGAAGTTTACAGCCATAGAGAGTGAAACTAAAGCTTTCCCGTTAGTCGAGCAAGTTTGTTTATCCCCGAATGGACTGTTACTTTCTTCACAAACAGCAGGTATGATGATCAGAAGCAAGTTCCCAAGGTTTCCTATATGAACAAGTGTTAAGATTTATGGAGTCTTGAACAAATTGACAAGTTCCTAAGAATTCAAGGGCCATAAATGTAACATTACATTTAACAATTGAATTATTCAATTGTTGTCGGGCAAACGTTTGAATTAAATATTCAAATGGTCGGTGGACAATTATTTAATATTTGTTGGACGGCTAATGTGAATGGCAAAATTTTCAAAGTCAATCTTTGCGGCAATCTTGTGCATATTGCGGCTCACAAATATACCTATATATATGCATGTATGTTTTGTATATTTTGTGTGCAAAAAAAAACTTGAGAGAACATTAAGTGTAGAGTGTCAAGCCAATTGTAATCTTGTGAGTTTTAATAAATTCTCTAGTTGCAGCCTGTGGATGTAGGATTTGCACCGAATCCGAACCACGTAAAATCCTTGTGTTCTTCTTGCTTTATTTTCGTGAGTTTGGTGTGTGTGTGATAGTGTGTTTCCGCTGCGTGTACCCGGTCCGGTTCCTAACAACTGGTATCAGAGCCAGATTAGCGAGGTTTGGAGGGTACAATCATTTTTTTTTCACGCACGAGTGTACCTGATTTGTATCTTGTTTGTCGTAATGGCTGAAGACAAGGTTGTAATCGAAAAGTTCAACGGTTCTGATTTTAGCTGGTGGAAAATGCAATTAGAAGCATTGCTATGTCAGAAAGACTTGGACATGGTACTCGGAGACAAACCGAAGAAAATGGAAAAAGCTTTTGAAGATGCGTGGAACTCAAAGGACAAGAAAGCCAAGGCGGTTATTACATTGTCATTGACGAAGAGCGTTGCTTTCAACATCATGAATGAAACCACGGCGCGTGGTATGATGGAGGCTCTGTCAAATATGTATGAGAAACCATCGGCGACTAACAAGGTGTTCTTGATGAAGGAGTTGTTCACTACAAGGATGAATGAGGAAGGCTCAGTTACGGTTCACATTAATAATCTAAATTCAATTCTGTCCAGATTATCATATGTGGGAATTAAATTTGATAACGAGACTCAAGCATCACTGCTACTAGCTTCTCTACCTGATAGCTGGTCCGGAACAGTTACTGCTGTTACGAGTTCTGTGGGGACCAGTGGTATGACTTTTGAAGGGGTTAGAGATTTGGTTCTAGGCGAGGATATCAGACGCAAGAATCAAGGTGGATCTTCTTCTTCTGATTTATTAAATGTCGGAAGAGGTAGAGGGAATAGCAGGAGCAGTGGGAGTCGGGGAAAAAGTTCTTCTAGAACTAAGAAGAATGTGAAGTGCTAGAACTGCCAGGAGGTGGGACATGTTAAGAGTCAATGTCCAAAGAAAGAATTGAACATTGTCGGTGCTGAGAGTGTGTCTGAGGATGATGCATTGATACTCAGTATGGAAAGTTCTGTAGACTCTTGGGTCATGGATTCAGGGGCTTCGTTTCACGCCATGGACAACGGGGAAACGATGGTGAATCTAAAAAAAAGGAGATTTTGGAAAGGTACGGTTAGCAAATGACGAGATGCTTCAAGTAACGGGCATGGGAGATATTGATTTGGTTACTTCATTGGGAACTACATGGAGCCTGAAGGATGTCAGGGTGATTCCGGAGCTGAAGAAAAAATTGATTTATGTTGGTCAGCTGGATAAACAAGGACTGGAAGTAAGGTTTGGTGGTGGTAAATGGATGGTGGTCAATGGTAATTCGGTGATTGCTCAAGGTATGAAGCGTGGGTCATTGTATATGGTTGAGGTACCTGCTGAGGGAAGTATGACCATCCCGATTAAGCAAAACAAAATCTGGTTCGCTAAATCTACTGCTAAGAGAGTTCATTTTGCAAACATGAATTCTGGAGCCAAGGGGATGTTAGCTGAACGAGTCGGAAATTCTAAACCATTCAGGGGATTCTGTGACAGTGGGAGCACGGGGTGTGTTCCGGGTATAGTTACAAAGAGCCGTTGGGTTTTGAAGACTAAGACTGGAAAATTCTCTCTTGTTGGATGTTTGCAAAGATTGGAGAGTGTTAGTGGTCCTCGGTGTATCTCTGGATCTCGTGGAGTGTCCAAACCGGTTGAGACAGAGGATGAGTCGGTAGAGGGATTAGCCACGACTGAGTTGGAGCTAGTGGGAGCTTCAACTGGCCCTTCTAGTACTTGAAGATGAGGGGCGGCTGCAATTAGAGAAATGGGACTAAGTTTAGCTTGTTCTTAGGAACTGGAGGCTTGGAAGACTTGGTTGTTTTAAGATTACTAGAGTTGGATGACAGAGACGGACCATGTTGTTCAAGCCTCCAAGTGGGAGATTGTTAAGATTTATGGAGTCTTGAACAAATTGACAAGTTCCTAAGAATTCAAGGGCCATAAATGTAACATTACATTTAACAATTGAATTATTCAATTGTTGTCGGCAAACGTTTGAATTAAATATTCAAATGGTCGGTGGACAATTATTTAATATTTGTTGGACGGCTAATGTGAATGGCAAAATTTTCAAAGTCAATCTTTGCGGCAATCTTGTGCATATTGCGGCTCACAAATATACCTATATATATGCATGTATGTTTTGTATATTTTGTGTGCAAAAAAAAACTTGAGAGAACATTAAGTGTAGAGTGTCAAGCCAATTGTAATCTTGTGAGTTTTAATAAAATTCTCTAGTTGCAGCCTGTGGATGTAGGATTTGCACCGAATCCGAACCACGTAAAATCCTTGTGTTCTTCTTGCTTTATTTTCGTGAGTTTGTGTGTGTGTGATAGTGTGTTTCCGCTGCGTGTACCCGGTCCGGTTCCTAACAACAAGAGCGATTGATACACGACAAAAAGTAAAAAGAAACCTATTTTCTCTTCATAATAACTTTTAAAAGAAATGTATAGTATATATATAGTCGTACGTACCAGCAGAACATGAACCAATTACAAGACCATGCAAGTGTTGCGGGGTCCTAGTGATTTTAACCAGCACCCATCCAAGTGCTGATCCAATTATGAATGTGAGAAGAATATTAACTGGCATGAACCATCTATGTACATTCAATCATGTAGTTAGTTCATTATCAAAGGTGATCTTCGAGAACCCTCTTCAACCGAGTCTTGAAAGCGATTAAGTTAAGGGGGAACTGGACTTACAGAGATACTATGCTGCTGGCTGTGACTGTATCAGCGAGGCTACCACCCACAAGTGCTGGAATGAAGACATAGAACACAACCTGTTTAAAAAAAAGTTCGCCATTAGACCTGTTTTCTAAGGTAAGATTAGAATGGGAGACTGTGAGTTACGTTGTTGAGATGGTGACGAGCGGCGTCGCCCAAGATATTAACGCGGTCTATGGCGAGAAGTAGGCCGAGAGCAGTGATCAGAAGCGTCTTGAGTACTGGAATCAACGCCACAATAAATAAATCCAGAACTGCCATCGATGCCTCCAGTCTATTTTTGTATTTTTGTTTTCTAAAAATTACTCCCGAATAAAGAATAAAAAAGATCAAGCCATAACAGATTAATATTTTAAAGATTCTAGTTAAGGAACGGAATTGATAAAGACAAAATTGTGGAAGGAGGGTATGAACAGAGGAAAAAAGGTGTAGAAGAAAGTGGAAAGCGTATGGATTACTCTAGAACTCGTTGTCATTGGTGACAAAGGACCATGTGTGTATGTATAGGTAGGTTTAAGGTCCGTGTTAAAGCACGCTCATAAAGATAATTTGGGAATTCCTTATAATATGTCGAATAGATATAAAATGAAAAGAAGTCAATTTAATTGTTTAAGCCACATTGGTAGAATTATATATTTGTGGTTTTAAAGCTACCTAAAATTACATCATACTATTGGTCAAACTGTAACACCGAAATTTTCAAAACAAATTTTTCATTTTAAACATAAAAATCACATATCATATTTCCCGAAATCTCAAGTATCAACATTAGTACAATTTATTTATCAAAATATGTTTATCACATAAACCAGGATCCTCCAAAATATATCTCCAAAGCGAGTGTGTGTACAATCAAGTTGGGGCCTTCTCGCGATCATCGGAAGTACCTGAAACACATAACACATAACACGGTAAGCATAAAGCTTAGTGAGTTTCCCAAAAATACCACATATAACTCATTAGCCATTCTATGCTATAACTCGATAAGACCCTCCAGTCAGTGTGTCTCAGTGGGACCCTCCGGTCCCAGCTCAGTAAGCTCATAGTAACAATATTCAACATAAACCACAAAGACATAATGCATAATGTCAAAGACACAGATAAACACAATAATAGCTCAATCACACAATATACCCACTCGAGGCAAGTATAGTGAGAAGACTCACCTCGTAAGTAAGCTGAGTGAATGAATACTTTCGCACACAAATCACCTGTCTAGCCTCCTCCTAATCACATAAGATAAGTTTATCTAATTAAATCTTAATATTGCACATTTCGCTAAGTTATCTCTCTTTGTCTCTCTCTTGAAGTGGGAAAAGACCATTTTACCCCTCCATGGTTTCCCAAAGACAAGGTTGACTAATTATAAGCCAACAGAAGTCAAACTCGAGTCAACAGTCCATGTTGACCCTGTTGGATTAGTGTTTAAGTTCATAACTATATTTGGTATGTACTTGACCTGACTCGGCATGGTCCATTTTGGGTTGCATGGCATCATGCATTTGGATAGACTAAAATGAGAGAAATAACACTTAAGGTTTATTAATATATTATAAGTTCTAATATATTAATAAGATTATTTAATTAGTATTGATCAAGAATTAATTTAAAATTAATTAAGTGATCAAAAAGGAGACTGATTAAATATATGGGTTGATTATGTAAATCATCCATACTTGTATAGTGGGGTAATGCTCCATGGATTGTCAAGTTGGGCTAAAACCAATAGGATGCTCCATGGATGCTCCATGGTGTTTTTGTACCCATGGATCATGGAAATGAAAGGCCATGACAATTAGGGTTTACATGGTGTAACCCTAATTGTGACAAACTATATAAGCATCTTATTCTTGACAAAATCGGCCACTATGTGTGTACGGTGAGGGCTAGCCGATTTCATGAAGTGTAGCATTTCTCTCAAGTTATTCCAAGTGTATTTTGATGTTGTGTGAACCATTTAAGGTGTCACACTTGGGGCACTCGGCTCTTAAGCATCAAGGAATCAAGCTACATAAAAAGGTATGTCTTCTAACTTGTTTTATTACCCAAGTATCAAAGATTGTATGCTAGATAGGGTAATACCTTGGAATATTCATATTTGCATGTATAATAGAGAAAACATAGATCCAAGATATGTAGGGTTGCATGTACACTTAGGAGTGTTAGAATGCTCAAAACCCAACAGTGGTATCAGAGCCAAGGCTTGTTTTCAATTATACTTGATGCAAAGTGCTGAAAAATGCTGAAAAAATCAATTTTCGGGCTGTCTGGGCACTGGACTCGTCGAGTCCACTAATGGACTCGCCAAGTCCATGAGGAAACTCATCCTACTCGTCGAGTAGGTTCATACACTCGACGAGTAGGACCCCCTGACAACATATTTTTCGACTTTTAAGGCTGGAATTGGACTAGAATCATTACCCTAAGCTGTTCTTGAACCTATAAATCTGTTTTTGATGTGGTAATGTTCATTCTAATCCAATTTCAAAGATAATTGTCAATAGATTCATGTTTTGTATTAGTTTAGTGGTTAGGCTAATTACATGAAAAAGTTTGATTGAATTATCTTGTTCTTATGAGTTGCTTAGATTGATAGACTAGTTATGTGAAATTGTTGTTTTCAATCCAGATTAATCTAAGAGTTGGTTCTAAATTGTGTTTTTGTAACTTGTCCTCAAGTTATATGAAAAGTCACATTTAAGATTCATAAAACTCATAAATATTTCCATAGGTTATGAATAAAGAAAAGTCATATTCTTTTAATAGTTTAAAGTCTTCCATAACTTGTCCTCAAGTTATGGAACTTGAAGAGTTTTTTGAATTAAAACTACTTTAAACACATGAGTTATGGAATTGAATAGTTTTGAATAGTTTCAAAATTTGCCCTCAAGTTTTGGAATTTGTAAAGTTTTCCCTTATGACTACTTTAATTCCAAGTTAAGCCCTTAGAATTTTAAAAGTTAAAATTCAACCCTTATACTTTATAAGTATTATAAGTTAATAATACATATATATATATATATATATATATATATATATATATATATATATATATATATGTATAAGAGCAAGTCAGTCTTACCGTTAGTAGGCCTCATTCACGAAGCCAGTCTATAAGGGGGGTATAAGGTTACTGCCTATAAAATGACAGTTTAATGGGTGTCCACTCTCACCCACCGCTTCCTTGACTGGTGGAGGGTCGTTAGCCGAACGGGTAGGACAAGGACTAGAATTCTCCCTTCATTAAAAGTATTAATGATAAATACTAAGTAACTAAACCTCTTATAAATTCCCAATCTTAGTTACTTAGGAAAATGTGAATTTGGTGCTAACCCATGAAATTACACTTTGCACTTTGCTTAAGTCGGTTAGTGGAGCGTGTGTGGTTAACCGGTACACTAGCTTGATTTAACAAGGTAGGCAAAGGGTAACTTAATGTTTATCATAGTATCAGTGGAGCGCGTGTGGTTAACCGACACATCGATTGAGGGGTAAATATTAAGGGTACCAAGTATATTTGCATGGTTATTCACACCTTGTTTTGTGATCCTCGGCATCCCAGTCACAAAATTTGAGAGGGCACAATCGAGATTGAAACATGCCATTGAACAGTTCAATGAATCTCAAAAGATCTAGGAGTTTCAAATCCAAGTAAAACCTAATTAAATTATTTCGTTTTCATGGTGGAAATTGGTGAATCGTCATTCGCCTACCTTCAAATATTTTATAGCTTGGATTACGGCATCCCTCTTCCAAGTTATAAAAGTATTGTGTTGGGTCCTAGCCTTAATATTTCATATTGGGTGTTATATTAAGGACTTTACATCAACTATCTTGAATATCTCCCAAAAGATGTCTAGTTCAGACATCTATGATCTTCCCAAATCTCTTGGAACTTCACTTCCTCCACTTCCTCCAATTATTCTCCCCAACCCACAAGTTCAAGGTCACTCAAGCCCTGTTGGCAAGAAAGGTCTATGTGTGATCGCATCTTGGAGATGAAGTCACATATTGACAAGCCGGGAGAGTTGGGTGTCAAAGTATTGAGAAAGTTGGTTGTTCAATCACTTTCTAAGTCACATAGTGAGTTCCTTTGGGACTACTATGAAACAGACTATGACATGACCCTTAATGATCTTATCTATTTGCTTGGTGCTGCTGAATCAGCAATGATTTGAGGACTAGTAAAGCAAATTTGATTAGGAGATCAACTTCCCAATGGACATTGACAATGGTAACATTGGATATCTAGAAAAGGGTTTCTCTTCCCAATGGAAAGGGATTGGCCACAGTCAACTCGGTTGACCAAATGGTAAAGAGAAAGGCTAAGTCTGCGATAGTCCCATATACCATTCCCAAAAATTCCATATGTTTATCTTGCCAAAGGAAGGGGCACTGATTGCGAAGCTGCCTATTTACCTGAAAGATCATAAGGTTGATCAAGTCAAGAAGTTTGACTCTACTTCAGGTAAAATCCACTATCTAACTCTGTTAAGTTTCTATTCTGAGATTCTTATTACATGATGTGACCGGGTCACATGTTGATGTTTTTTTAAGAATCAAAGAAAAGTGAAGAAACTTAAAGGAAGTATATGATGATTCTGACCGCGAAGATGGATTTCGATCGCATGGTTCGGTGATCAGAATTTTTGAGCTGTTGCTTAGGAGTTATAATATATTGCTTAGGAATAGATAACAACAAGTTTTTCATATGCTTTTGCACTGTAAGGATAAGTTTTTCCGCAAAGTTTTAAAATAAAAGGAAAATTTTTTATTTTATTTATTTTAAATATCCTTACAGTGGCATTTGTGAAAAATGGTTGTTTATATGATTCCACTGATAGAAATATTGGAAAAATGGACTTGATTCTTTCATTTGTGGTAGTGTCTAAATTTACCAAATAAGGAAAGATTTTCATCGCCCAAGTTTCAATTGGACCGAAACTTGGAATCATGCAAGTTGTATAGTATGATGAATGAGAATTTTCATCTTTGGAAAAATTAAGACTAATTCCTTGTTCACATGTATATGTGAGTCAAGTGAAGGACTAAGGGATCAAGTACACATTCTTGTGCACTAGTCAAGTCCACCACAAAAGATTGATAAGACTATTCGTCATGATTTACAAATGTTTAGTAAATATGGTTATACTTACAAGTTAAGTATAATTCTGAAACATTGGAAAAACTTCGATGTATGATAGAATGAATGAGAACAATCAAATTAGGCAGAAAGATAAAAGTCTCTCAAATCTGAAAAG